CTAGAGTGAAAAAGTGTTCCAGTCTGCCTGGGGGGAGAGCCTTATAGACTATAGAAAAGCACTTCCTGCAGCACGCTCAACCTATCTCTCCTCTCTCATAGAAAATATTAAGAATAATCCTAGATTATGATTTAGCACAATTTCTAAATTAACTAAGAACCAAACAGTTACTGAACCCCAGATGCCATTAGACTATAGCAGCAATGACTTTATGAATGTTTTCAGATATAAAATTGAAAAAATTAGACAGAAAATTCAGAACGTACAGTTAAACTCTACAAACTTGCTGCTTTATAATGCCGATCTAGATCTTGAGAATATTGTAAGTACTGCAGAGAGGCTGGAATCATTTACCTTACCTTAACAAAATTAACTTGTTAAAATTATTTCCTCTGCAAAATCTTCTACCTGTATGTTAGAACCAATTCCTACAGGTTTACTCAAGGAAAGTTTGCCAGAAATAACCAAGCCTGCTCTGTCAATAATAAACTCCTCTCTTAGCCTTGGCTATATCCCAAAAACTCTTAAACTAGCAGTAATTCAACCTCTGATTAAGAAAGCTAACCTCGATCCCTGTGAACTATCAAATTATAAACCTCTCAAATCTCCCCTTTATATCAAAAATCTTGGAAAAAGTTAATAAAGTTAGTAAACGGTCTTTTATTATTCTCTGACCAAGGAAATGTGTCTTTTCTTGTCCTCAATGATCTTAGTGTGGCATTTGACACGATAGGCCAGTCTGTATTACTAGACAGACAAGAAAACCTTGTAAGGGTAACAGGAATAGCTTTTTCCTTGTTCAGATCTTATCTCACTGATCGCTGTAAGTTTGTAAATGTGAACGGTGAATCATCCGTCCTCGCAAAAGTAAAGTATGGTGTTCCACAAGGCTCTGTTTTAGGACCTATATTACTCACAATATATATGCTTCCACTGGGCACCACTATCAGTAAACACGGCATCAATTTCTACTGCTACGCCGATGACACACAGTTATATATATCAAGCAAACCAGATGACAAAATTCAACTTAACAAGACTGAGAACTGTATAAAAGACATTAAAGACTGGATCTCGAATAACTTTCTCCTACCTAACTCAGATAAAACAGAAGTTTTGCTTCTTGGTCCAAAAGCTGCTAGAAACAAACTGTCTAATTTAACACTTAAATTTAATAGTTTCTCAGTTGCAGCAGATTCATCTGTAAATAATCTTGGTGTCACGGTAGATCCCAATCTGTCCTTTGATGTACATATGATGAATATTACTAGAATAGCCTTGCTGCATCTCCACAATATTGCTAAATTAAGAAATGCATTGTCTTTACAGGATGCAGAAAAGCTAGTTCACGCATTTATTACCTCGCGGCTAGATTACTGTAATGCCCTGCTGTCTGGATGTTCCAGCAAAAGCCTTAACAAGCTTCAGTTAGTCCAGAACGTCCTCACAAGAACCAGAAAGTTTGACCATATCAGCCCAGTTTTGTCAAACCTACACTGGTTGCCAGTTAAATTTTGCATCGACTACACAATTTTTTTACTGACATATAAAGCTCTAAACGGAGTCGCCCCTCAATACCTAAGTGAACTTCTTTCATACTATGAACCATCAGGCCTACTTAGATCACAAGGTGCTGGTTTACTATTAGTACCTAGAATTAATAAAGTCATTAGGGGGGAGAGCATTCTCATACAAAGCCCCCCAACTTTGGAATAATCTTCCAGTCAGTGTTAGGGACTCAGACACATCCTCAGTCTTTAAGTCTAGGCTAAAAACTTACTTGTTTAGTCAAGGCTTTGGTAATTAGTTTTCCCTGTTAGATAAAAGGTACAGATCTGGGGGTCCATCGTCCCGTTGCTCTCACACGTTCACTCAAATTTGCGTTCTTAGGGAGCCCTCATGTCTCTGGAGCCCTCATGTCTGTTACCTTTCTGGTTTCTCCCTTTTAGTTAGGCTGTACTAATTAGACCTGCCAGAGTCTGGGTTGCACTCTGTTAATACTGTAATCTGTAATCAGTCACTCTTTACAGAACTAAATCTCTGTGTGTTTTCCTTCTTTGCTGAGTTGAACAACTCCCCATCCTGTGCGGTCTGATGCTGTTGCTTCTTCTGCCTTGATCGGGTGCCCACTGCTTGCCAGCCTTCTGGACCGTTTTGACCACAATTGAGCTTCACGCTGCACAACATTTTGCAAACCTCACCTTCATGAACTGAGCCTCCTGATGCTGCTGCTACTGCTGCATATATTCAAACTATCTAATTAACCATTGCTTCGCCTGTTTTCCCCATTTTGTATTCTAATATTTTATACTAATGGTGTTTGCTATCCAGTGTCGACCAGACGAGGATGGGTTCCCCTTTTGAGTCTTGGTTCCTCTCAAGGTTTCTTCCCCTTTCTCTTAGGGAGTTTTTCCTTGCCACTATCACCATTGGCTTGCTCATGGGGCCTTGGACCTGGATATTTCTGTAAAGCTGCTTTGTGACAACACCTGTTGTAAAAAGTGCTATATAAATAAACTTTGACTTGACGATTTAGAATTAGAGAATTTTATTTTTTTACTTAATTCACACTATTCCTTTCCTTGCTGTTACTGGTTTTATGTGCTTATCGTTTAAACAAAGTTCCAAAAATCTCAACATTTTTTTTCTCTCTCACTGCCTGCTTCAGTCCACTACTGCTTCCACAATCCCAAGTCCAGCAGAACACTGATGCTAAGCTTATCATTTGCAAACATATCCACTACTGAGGGGATTGTTAGTTTGACAATCCTTCTAAAGAGCTCGGTAACAATGATATTAATAACTAGCTCATCACATTGATGTACCAATCTACTCAGCTTTAGCAGGAACTTCAGTGTTTGTAAAGAAGATGTTAACTGAGGTCCTCTTTTGAGTTTGACTATCAGGCATATTTGCTACAAGCCGTGTACTAATTTAAAATATTTTTTTTATTAAAAAAATTAAAATTATCATTTTTTTTTTTAGTGGGTGAGTATTCTAAAGGTATTCTCCTAAAAATGTTAAAGATAACTTTTCTGAATATTGCCTTCACAAAATGTAACTTTTGAATGAATACAGATAATTTCTGTATTCTGAATGTGTTTTTCCGCTACTCGTATTCTGTTACATCACAACCCTGGTAATAATAAACATTTTTTTTTTGTTATGCAAATTCAGATCTTGTTATGCAAACTAAGCATGATGTAACTGTCTAAAACTATTTTAACAGACAGCCAAATGCAGATAAATTGAAGACATGCATGTAAACTACACACTAATCAAAAAATGAACTTAAAAGGTCACTTCATGCTAAACATTTTGCATAACAAATTAGACATTTTTAAATTATTTTAAAATCATTTAAATTATTCACTATGCATAAAATTTTATTCATTATGACCTGTTTTAAAATGTAACTGGAGGTCTGTTTTGAGAAAATTTAATTGCATTAAAATAATATATGTCATAATGCACAATGAACACCTTGTTAGGACCTTTTTCACAAATTATTAATGTTCTAAAGTGACATTGTGAATTTTGTGCTTGAGTGGCAGCTTTTCATCCATTCAGATTCTAGGTAAAGTCAAGTGACCTCTGTAGTGTATTACTATCACAAATTCAATACGTATTCAAAAACTTGTCAATTTAAATGCATTTGGTTGTTTAAATGTGTTGAAACTAACTTAAAATGTTCCCAATTTGTACGTTTTGGCAACCAAGAAAAAAACAAAAACAAAAAAAAAACATGAAATGATTTTTACTTTAGAATATAGGACACAAATTAACTAACTGAAAACATCTTAAAGTCAGTTTTCTGTTATTAGTCATAACTCTAAAGTCACATGACATTATCTAGAACCTATAGGAATAACTAGCTGCCATATATACTGTAATAATACATGAATTTAAGATATGATTAGTGATTTTCACACAGACTTCCAATTATATACTAATACAAGTCACAATAATTAAAACTCAATACAAAGTGAACAAACCATTTACTTTTATTAACTTTATTAAGAACAAAGAACAAGATCCTAATAAACCTGCAATTTGTCTCTCCTCTCCTTTTGGACGAACGCTATGCAAATGAGCTGAGCAGCAGCCAGTCAGATTGCCTGTAGACACGATGAAGATTCAACACTCTAATGCCCATGTAGTGGGAGATGGATTGGACGGATGGAAATAAATGTATTTATTATTATGTTAGTTGAATTTTTAAAGGAGCTCTGGGGCACAGAACTTGCTCAGCAGTTGGAGATGAAAACCATTATGTTAACTTAAACAGTGCATGACAACTGCAGTCTTTGAAAATAAATAAATTAATAAAGCATAAAATACAACATAAAATGAAAATATAAACTCCACCTAAATGAAGCACATAGATCTTTACTATGCTAAGGTTATTATTTTTAAATTTTAGCAGTTGCAGTTACACAATTTCAAAATCTGGGGGTGCTGCTGCCCCCTCAGCACCTCTACTTCCTGAGTTTTACTCCACTACCTTGCTAGTTAGCAAGCTAAGGTCTACAAGGCTCACAGCAACAACAAAATAAAGGGCAATGCGCCATGCTTATCAATCTGAACCTGAAGCTTTAACCAGACTAAGGAATTATTTGCAAAATTTATGTACGTTATGCTTGGACTTCTCATGAGGTGAAGGCATGCGTTATTCAAGCAGAGAGCATATCGCTCCAGCAGCCATGGCTTTACCTGCAGCTATTAGTTCTTACTGAGAAGGCTGCAGGCTCAGACACAAATATACAATCACTCTTATACAAACAGACAAACTTTTCAGCTTAGAATGCTGGGAAGCTCAACCACCAGCGCTACAATATACTAGCTATGAAGTACTTTTATGCCTTTTATTTTTGACTGAACAAAATTATTTCGGTAGATAAAATTTTTAGTTCCTTAAAAAAAAAGCCCTTGGTAAACTTTTAATATCAGTCAGGCTCTAATAGAGTCTACATAGGCATGTGTGTGTATGTGTGTCTTACCTGCAGGTATGTGATCCTGTTCTGCACTAATTCTGAAAGGTCTTTGGCCTCCTTTTTTCTCCAGTCTCCAGCTCCATCTGCCTGGCTCAGATGGTACAAGTCTGTCATGATGGACCTGAATGTTCAAATATGATGAAAGTTACAATGCATGTTTATATATAGTTATAATGCATATTAAATCTCTGTAGGTGGTTCAAGGATAAAGAGTCTGGTACATTAGGGTTTAAATATAAGGTTAACAAAGTATTTCCCAGCTGCAGTCCTGGAGACCCATCTCCACTGCAAGACACCTGATTAAACACAAGATGGACTTCATAATTAAATACAGATTTGTCACGCTATACTATATTAGGTATTATATCGCTGTTGTTGGAACAAAACCTTGTCTCCAAAAAGGTAACTTAACAGGAGAAGAAAAAAAACAAGTCAATGCAAGTCAATGGAACCGGACTTTTTTCCAAGTCTTTTTTGGTCCGTTTCTTTCGGTTCATTCATCATGAAATTCACACAATTTGTAAAGGGCATTTTCAAATTATGTCAAAAACTGAAAAATGATGTGCTACATTTGATTAATTTCCTGCAATGGACATGATATCGATTTAAATAAAAGTTGAGACAGTAGGTGAAAAAGGAAATAAAAACAGAAAGCAGTAATTTGTAAATATTCTTTATAAAACAGTACGAAGACAAAATATTTAATGTTTTATCAAATGAATGTCATTGTTTTTTTGTAAACATATGTTCACTCTGAAATTCTTGAGACATGTTCCAAAAAAGTTGGGTCAGAGGCTATTTAAAATTGTGAAATATTGAAAAAACATGTTAAACAATAATGCTTCATATGAGCTCAGGAATATTTTGACAAACCATTGTCAATTTGCACTGTTTGTTGCTGCATCCAGAAATGCAAGTTAAAACTGTACTGTGCACAACTAAAGTCATTTGTCAACAGAGTTCAGAAACACTGCCGATTTCTTTGGGCTCAAGCTCATTTGAGATGGATGGATGCACAGTGGAAATGTGTGCTGTGGTCTGATGAGGCAACCTTTCTGATTATTTATGAAAATAATGGATGTCTATCCAGATTTGTACCAAAGTAAGGTTCAAAAGCCAAAGTCTATCAGTCTATTTCAACATGACAAAGGCAAGCCACATTCTGCAAGTGTTATAAAGAGCATGGCTGCATAATCAGAGAGTGCAGGTGTTAGACTGGCCTGCCTGAATCTACAACTGTCTCCCATTGAAAACAAAAGTCAGCTTTTAAAACTGGATCAATCTGTGTCTTCAGTCCCTAAACAATTATTACTTCTATTATTAAAAGATGATATAACTAAGTATTAAACATGCTCCTCATGAAGTAAAACATGACATTGTTTTTGTTTTCAAATGATTACAGATTAAACAGAATTTACTAATCACTGCTTTCTGTTTTTATTAGCATTTCACATACTGTCTCAACTTTTCTGGAAATGGGTTTATAATAATAGCTCATTCCAGACATAATAGTTAATTTCAGTCATAATAATAGCCCAGTGTGGAGTAGGAAAGAAAATGCACTCACTCTCACTAATGCACATGTCTGTTTTTTTTTTACCTCTCAAGGAGGGGACAAGATAATTTTAGGGTGTTGCAGGATAGTTATTGAAAAAAGGAGGCAAACATTTTTGATAATATATTCTTGAGAAATACTTTTACATAACACCTCCTACAGCAGTGCTACAGAGTTGTCATTATAAGATGTGCAGCAGCCTAGCAGCTAACTTAGCAGCTGACTTCACTATTTTTATGTGCATCAACATTACAAGTATTAGCTGACTACACTACAAAGTGTACAAGTACACGCATCACTTCATTCAGCATGACTGAGTTGCAAAAGAGTTGTGAGATGATTGTAAATTCTATACGTTTTAAAAACAATAATTAGTCTAGACAACTGTTCTATTTATTATGTTCATTTGTGTGCTTGGTAGCTGTCATGTGTGATAAGGTAATGCTAGTGTACTTCCTCGCCTGGAACATACTAACAACTTAGTAGGCTGCTGTAGCATGTTTCAGAGCTGAAATGTGAGGAAGGTTGTTCGTAGTATCTGTAACCAACTGAAAAGTACAACATAAAATCCAATTCCTATTTCAGTACTTTGCTGATGCTGTTTGAAATCCAAGAAACTAGTCAGTAGAAGCCATTCCAAAAAAGCTGTCTAAAAATAAAACCTTTATGAATAAAATGTAAGTTTACAGTGCTGGTCCAGAATGAAAATCGAGTATAGTCTTTTTAGGAGAGGTTGAGGCTTTCTCTTATTCAGCAAGGGGGATCTTTATCCATCTTAGTCCTATTCGCGTTAAAAGATGCTTTGACTGATCATTTGTTGAGTTCATGGTTCTTTCTGTACTTAAGCTGCACTGCTCACATTCAAAATCAAAGTCAGCTGTCACAGGTAGTGAATATAGAGCAAATTATGTACAAGGACAGATATGGATATACGAATTTACATTTTGAATGCATTCCATGTAACTAATATTGTATATATCTCTCAGAGACACGAAAGTAACACAAGTAGTGTAATTCTTATTAAGTCAATAACTGTAATGTGATTACAAGAATTTATACTGTAATGTAACTACTTTGTTAAAGGAAAATGTAATTACATTACTGTAATGTGTAACTTTGTACCCCCAACACTGGACTAAAGAACTGGAGTTGTGTGTCACCTCTGCTGGTGCCCCAGGTCCTGCAGCAGGACGTCAATGTGCTTCTGCAGCTCTCCAGTCTCCACATGGGCCAATTTCTTCACCTCACTGCGTACAAAATACCACAGCTCCCGCAACCCATTCTCTGTCTTCCTCCTTAGCTCCTCCTGGTTCCTCCCTGGGCCTGAACATACATAAATAGGTTTACTGGGGTCATACATATGTCCCATATCTATTTTTTATATGTACCTAACAGTGTTGAGCATTCCAATTCTGATACTCAAATATCCATAAAGATGAACATCTGCATGAACAGATACCTGGTTAACTGTGGAGGAAGAAAAAAAAAGAGAAAAAGAAATTTATTTATTTTTATTTTTTTAAGGGACAGCACTGGTGTTGTGCAAGAATTCTGCAACACATTGAGGAACACATTTCGAAACGTGTTTTGTTATTCAAATATAGCCACGGGAAATCAGTGGGTTCTCCTGTTGGACGAGTAACTAAGATGTAAAAGTACAGCTGACTACTACAACACTTGATGCTGTCGGAGACTCATCATCTTCCGTGGGTGTTTTTCTTATCTTCAGCAGTTTTTAAGTGACAGCACTGGTATCATCAACATCAAGCATTCTGCAACACATTGAGGAACACATTTCGAAACGTGTTTTGTTATTCAAATATAGCCACGGGAAATCAGTGGGTTCTCCTGTTGGACGAGTAACTAAGATGTAAAAGTACAGCTGACTACTACAACACTTGATGCTGTCGGAGACTCATCATCTTCCGTGGGTGTTTTTTCTTATCTTTAGCAGATAATGTGCAAACATTTTAGTTGGTGAGAGAAATGTATTTTAACTGTTTCTACACTTAACATCAGCCTAGGATATTAAGCAATAAAAGCTGTGCTATCTCTACCTTCTCAGTTACATACAACAGCATATCCTTGGCAAACTGTTCACATTTAACCACTGCTGTTACAGAGCAGCAACGTATATATAACATGCTACACATAACATACATAACATACTTAATCACATATACAAACAAAAAAAATCATGTTTTACAGTTCTGAAACATGAAACACTGGCATGTCACTGAATTGTTAGCCTGTATTAGAACACTGGTACTTTGAATGGTTAAGGGAGTACTCAGTAGCCATGCACATCACTTGTGTGCAATATGGCTTTCTAAGCATAATTATAGACATTGTGGTTTAACTTTGTTTTTCTCTAGTTCTCGTACAAAGGGAGATCATGTTTCCTGCAAAAATGTCCCGATAGAAACACACAGAAAGTTCTCACTAGTGTCAAGCAGCCCTCCGACTCAGACTCACACCTGGACTCCATTTCCCAGAATCCAGTTGGAGATCACATGACTCTGGAACTTCCTCGTTCATCCAATCACTTTTCACAATCACCCAAACACTAATGTTTTGCACCTGTTCTCTGTATCATATGACCTGTCTAGTTTCGTTTATAAGCCCAGGCTTTAGCACAGTCAAGATGTGAGATATTACTTATCTAGTAGAATTACTGAGCATTTTTCTGTTTGCTGTTTATGCCACTTTGGTGTTTTGACCTTTTTCTGGATTCTCTGGTGTTACTTTTTAGTCTTTACCCTTTTTGATCTGGTTGCCTTGGTTATGTTTGTACTCTTTTTCCTGATTGCCTTTTTGGATCTGACCCACGCACGTTTAACGACTACAAGTATTGTCAAACTCTTCTCTCAAGTAAAGCCTCATTCACTGAGTTGAACCGCAAGCATCTGACCTGTTCCGTCACATTACAACTAGGGATCAGTCAGTGTCATTTTGAGGGCTTAAGGCCACTGCTGGGGTAGCTATCAAATTCACACCACACTGGGGTAGTAACGTTAACAAAGGTGAAAATGGTTGATTAGCTTTAGTAAATATATTATGTTTGGTATCAGCTAACTAACTCTTCCCAAACCTGCTGTTCTCCGGCTAAAAGGTACAAGGTAAAATGTGAGGTAACAAGGTTAGGAATGTCAGCTGAGTTGAAAATGATTGATTAGCATTTATATGTTTATTATACAGACTGTACATTTACTGCCTTTCTTGGTGTAAATTTCAGACAACTTCATCTGCTACAGACTTGTCGTCTGGGTTTGATGTAGTACAGTAGTAAAATCCTGAGTGAGAAGTCACAGCATCTGGCGTTGTCCAGTGTGTCTAGTGTGTGGTAGCCTGTGGCCTATAAATTTGAATATCAAATTCAACTGAAATGCCCAGCTCTAGTTCACACAGCACTATACCATAGAACAGTAGGAATGCCATTACAAACTGTGAAGCAAAAATAGTACTACAGTTATTATGAAAATGCTTCCATTAATTTATCTCACGCTATCTGACTGCAAGAGGTGATGCTCACTGCACATTGAATAGTAATGCACACAATATCAAGACATGGCATCATTGTTCAGTCCACAGCTGCATTACGGTAACAATGACAAATCAATGGCACAAATAAATGTTGAAAAGCCATTGTGTGTGCGTGTAGGTGTCTGTATCACTGTCAGTAAACCAATACTCTGAGACCTGCACATGGAAGTGATCCTCTCTGTCTCTCTTTCACCCCTCCTCTTGGTAGGAAGAGCGCACAACAGAGCCGAACACAATGAAAGCCCCTGACCCAGAAACAGAGAGTGTATGCTCACATGCGTGCATGTGCGGTGGCCTGTATGTGAGTGCTGTTGAGGGATTGGGACTAGTGGTAAGAAAATCAGCTGAAGAGGACCACAGTCCACAACATTATGGTTGTGGTCATGCATTTCAAATGTGTTTATGCATGTGTAGAAGTATGAAGAATTTCTATATAATAATTAAATGATTTAATTTGTATGTGCCCTTTTGTACGTGTTTGTTTTATTTTCAAGTCTTGCAGATGTTTTCTTATAAATTATTAAGGTTGTTATTGTGTTTTTAGTAATACATCACATATGATAAAACCCATGATGACATGCAATCAGAAAGGCAAATGCATGGCCATAATTTTGCAAGCATAACCTTTCCTCATCCACATTTTCAAAACTTGCCTTTATAGTCTATGCTGAACAGATCATGGGCCATTTCAATTTCCGACCATTGCAGAACTTTGTACAGTCAGTGATGCCATGTGAACTGTGTAATCTATGCCATGTTAGGTCCAAATGCACAACCATTCCATCCATAATAAACTGCTGCGTATGTTAACTGCCGCTGAATGTAACTGCAGATCGGTGAGGTGATGGTCACCTCTCAGGAGGAGCGACTAAAATATATTTTAAATCACAGTTTTGATAAATGACTGGTTGTTGGTAGGAATTAGGCCTATTTAAGTCTCAGCTGCATTATTATCTAATGCACTTTATTTATTTTATGTACTTTTTAAACAACTTATTTTTCTGTCTGCTAAATCAAAATCTGCCAATATCTGTCAACAATGCTCAAAATTCTCTGTTGGCAGCAGACTCCCCCTTTACTAAAATGAAAACTCTACACAACTTATGTGAACAGCATGTTCATAATTCAAAGTGGCAAATTTCACCACGGTGCAGGTGTAACGACAGAGGCATGAATGTCAGCTGCAGGTGCAAGATGCAAGAAAGATAAGGCAAGGGCCAAAAAACAGGCATAAAACAAAGAAAAACTGGCTCGGAACATGGGTTAAAAACAGAGACTTCTCAAACTAACCTGCAAAACAAAGGGGTATATATCGCTGTTGTCGGGAAAAAGCCTCGAATCTCCATAATGACAACTTCACAGGAAAAGGAAAAAACATACTTTACTTTTAATGTCAATGGAACCAGACTTTTTTTGGTCCATTTATTATGAAATTTATACACAATGCAACAGGCATTTTCAAATTATGTCAACAACTAAAAAACGACAAAAATGGAGATTAAGGTTTTCTTCCGACAGCATCGATATGCTAGTTACTGTCTATAAAATGAGCTACAGGTGTGTATAGTGGACAAGAGTGGGTGGAGTCAGGGAGAGTCCAAGTAGAGGCTTCCCAAACAAGTATGGTGTGTGTTTGTGTGTGTTTGCGAGAAACTGAGGAAAAGAGAGAAAGAGAGAGAGAGAGAGAGACAGACAGGCAGACAGACAGACAGACAGAGAAAGGAGAGAGAGCAGAGGAGAGATGGAGGATAATTCACACGGACTCATTGTAGTGATTTGACTTTCCTTCACACACACATGCAAACACACGTACCTTGGCAGGATGCAGGGTCACACAGATGTCCCATATATATTATACACATATGTAACTCTCCAAATGTAATAAGAATTTGCTTAGTAATAAGAACTTTTCTTAGGTTAACCCTAAAACTAACCCTAATCTTACAGGATAATTCCAGCAATTTCTGCATAATGAAATGGTTAATATGTAAACAGAATCATTCAGAGTAGTTTAATGTGAAATGGCCCATTCTAGACAAACATTATAAGAAATGCTGTGTTTGAAATAGCCTACTATATACTGCTCTTTAGTGACATACTGAATTTCCCCAGGAAGCCAAAGAGACCCAGATGACGTACTGCTCCAGCAAAATATTCCAGTAAGCAGTCGAGCTATCTTCGTGATATACTGCATCACAAAATGCAACGCGACCATTTCAGGAGTATGTAACCACTGATGTAACTGCTTGGATATTTCTAATAGCCCTTGATTAAGATTTTTTTTATAGACCAAATCAAAACGTTTGTAAACATGAACACTGGCTGAACCAACATGAACAGACTGAACCAAAATATGGTCAATGATGATGAAATATTGTTGTATTTCAGGCTGTAATGTCAAATGTTTTGGTGGTGAAAAAGGGTCACCCAATTTTTTCTTGCTGCTGAAAGAGAGAGGAAGGGAGGGAGGGAGAGAGAGTGAATGAAAAACTTTTGCTTCTGGCTCCCCAGATTCTCTTTATTAAGGATTCAAGCACTAAAGGTGCACAGAACCCTATTGCTTTTGCTAGAATTTTTATGGGTCCAAGCACCTTTGGGTGCATGGAACCCTACTGTTTTTGCTCAGGTCTTTCTTCTTCTTCTTGTTCTACCCTAAAACTGATTGGGGAGAAGACCCCGTAAGCCACCCAAACACCAGACTTTGAGGGTAAATGTATGCCCCCCACTACTCAGGCAAGTGAAACGACCCCAATTGGCCTGAAAGTGGTGCTACAGAGCAACATTTTACGTTTTGGCCCATATCTCCTGAAGCGTGAGGCTAATTTAAAATGTTTTCTGCTAGTCTGTGGTTTTTCAACATATCTCCACAATATTGTTCTCAAATTGTTTAAGGGAGTTTGGAGGTCAAGCATTATTTAAAAATGTGGATATGTTTAAGCAATATGGCCACCACATGGCAATTAATCCCTTATGGCTTTAGCTTAATTCACAAAAATTGCTACAGATTGTGACTGCTTTGGTGAATTATCATGAAACAGACCTATTCCCCACGTGATTTTTTGGAAGCCAAGTTTGATCCTGATAGTTCAATGGGGGTGCTATAACAACCAAAAATCTTTTTCTCAGCAACTCTTTGGCCAATTGAGCTGAAACAGCTGTATGCTGCATCAATGGTCCACTTTATAAGTAAGGTGCTAAGGACAACTTAATCATTGGACAAATATGGCCGCCACTGGCCAAAGAATTGAAACAGACATTTGGAGAGCTTAGCACTGGCCAATCATTACACAAATTGAATCATGTTTCCACAAAGGCAGTCTCTAATAATATATAAAGTTTGACCTCAATTGGCCATGAGATGGCACTATACAACAAAATCAAATTTTCTTAAATTTGGTTTTAAAACAACCTGTGGATTGTCCATAAATAATTATCAAAAAATCTTGACTTGCAAAGAATGGCCGTGAGACATCAATTACTCTGTTCGACCTTGCTTTTTCTGACATAAGGGGCTACCTTATTGCTCCCTACCAGTAAATTGTCTCAAAAAAATGCAGCAACATCTCCCTTCCAATCAGAAGGTGCTCGGTTCAAATGCCGCCTGAGCTGTCCTAGCCAAAGCAAAGTGCAAGTTTGTATCTCGAGAGCGTTATAAGCCACTGAATATTAATAGCCATCAAAAACTTATGATGTTAATTGAGACTTATAGTGCTAATGAAGACTGACTGCTTGGACACCCATGATTGCCACTTACGGTAACATTTATGCTTTTTCTCCAGAAAAAACGTGCTGTGGAGAAGACACCATAAGCCATCCAGACACCAAATTTGGAAGGCAGATGTAGCTTGTTTGCATCTACCCAGGCAAAAAACGTGAATGACACGTACATGATGGCATTCTCTAACAGGCTATGAAATTTCATATCAATTGGCCATTGGGGAGGGTGCTGTTCTTAAAAAAAAATAAGCTTATGTACAATTACTTTTAGTTTGTGGGAATGAAATTGGATTCATGTCATGCAGTGCACTGTAACTGACTTTTTTTTAATTCAAGACTTGTAGAAAACTTTTTTGTTTTTCTGCAATTGTACAAAGTTTGAACAAGCCAAATAACAAACTAGTGTCTCAGTTTTCATGATACTGTCTGGAAAAAAGATTGAGAATCAATCTGTGGAGTCTGAAAGTTAATAATTATCAAAAAATATTGACTTTTTTCCCCACATTGTGGCTGCAACACAAGTCAATAAGTGCAAATGGGCTGTTCTGACTCAATTAGCTATAATTATATTTAGGACAACCCAGTTGTGATCAAACTCAGAATAAATGTGAAAGTAACTGAATACTTGCAGTAATTTAATTCCTATATAATAGAATATAATATAACACAATGATAATAAAGTCACTGAAAGATTGGATCAAAACTGTTAAAATGTGTGTGTGACCCTTTTGGCTCTCTACATTTAAATGGCCTCAAAAAGTGCCTACTTAGTATGGGCCATGTGTGGCTCACCATGTAAGCTGTTGCCCTTCCAACCCTGAGGTTCGAATCCCACCTTAGCTGTCACTGAAGAATATCAAATGCATATCTTTTGCTACAAATATTCATGTTGTCCCAGAGTCTCTGCAGCAGTACATGCCTAGTGACTTACTGATAATTTTCTTGCCTTTAAATCTGAGGGTTTGAGGTTTGAATCTTGGCTAGGCTCTGTGTTGGACAGTCGTGAGAGATATACGTTGCTTCACAAAAATATGCTATTATGCTATTAAACAGCAAAAGCTTGAAACCCAGTGAATGCATCATTAGCTTGGTGCTAATGAAACAGCTATTAGCAATATCACATCAAATAAGATAAAGGGTATTTACAACGTTACATTTTTTTAAACACCACAGTGAAAATGAATGGCTGGTGCATACTCATGATTAAATGACAAAAAATTCCACACAGTCCAGTTAATTGTGAAGTTATCAGAGTAGGAAGATTTAAAATAGAATTTAAAGGCCCCAGAACAGCTTTAGTGGCACACAGGTTTGCAGTATCAATGACATTAGGACCTTAAACTTTATTAGTATTCAATAATGAATCACAAGATCACTGAAAAAGTACTGTTTTCTCCCAACACCTTGGATAATAACTCTCAAATCAGTATCAGGATTGATACAAAACCCAGCTAGTGCAACGCTGCCATCGTTATCCAACATAAGTTATCCACAGTAAGTTCTTTGCTGTTCTGACCTAACCCTGATTTGTCCTATACAATTAATTAAGGCAAAATGAAAGAAATTTGTCCAAATGCTGCTGAACTCAGTGCAACCCTGAAGCCATACCAGCTATTTCTGATTTAAAGTGGGTTTGCTTGCTTTGTCTATTTAATACAGTTAACATACTGCATAAATAATATGGTTAAACGATAACTTGGCTAATAAAGTTGGTCTCAACTGAACAATCTGCTCAGCATTGGCTTTTCAGGCTCTTATGTGAAGTCACACTGTTCATTATTCAATCTAATTAGTTCATATTACCAACTACAAGTGTAATGAAAATGAAATGATTTGCAAACAGATAAAAACATGTGTGTTTAGAACCCACACAGGTTTACCACACAGACCAGCCTGAACCTGACATTTTTAAAGTTTATCTGTTGCTATGGAGACGGACAGAAAAACATCATCCTGCCCTCTGTTGTATGGGATATCCTTTAAAAGTCAGTATTCACAGAATTCCAGTAACCCATTTAATCATGCTTGTCATTGTTTTGTTTACTTTTGTTTCACTCCCTGAAAGTTTTCTTGGGTTTTTACTGGAGGCTGCTCTTTGCTCTTTTCTACTACTTGCTCAGTAGAAGATTCATCACTGAGAATTTCAAATGTGCTTGAAAATATCACATAAACATATTTTTTATATACATGCGTAGACATACAGTACCCAATGTAAACTGTTTTTTCCAGATTTACCATTATTTTACCAATATTAACATTCCATACAAAAACTCTTTGGATAGCAAATGAAATGCCTATATTTGTGTTGTATACATGACTCAAGGTTGCCACCTCCACCACTGTAAAGAAATCGGAGTCAGTTTTCTATAGTTGCTCCATAATGCACTTTTTTACATCAAAACACTCACAATTACTTTATTTACATCTCAATGACTGAATTATGCAGATTTGAAAAATCGAATTCCCCTCTAAATCATCTGTGCATCCTCAGAATTTGACCAATTTCATGGCCTCATTTCAAGAATCCTGTACATCCTTTTGAATTGGGACAGCGTTTATGACATATAAGGCTGAGAAATTTGACCTTCGAAGCCCCATAAATGAGATGTAGCGACGTAGTGACACAGACATGCACTCCTTGCTGTTTTTATCCATTTAGTCTCTCATGGACATTAAAGGGCTGCTAATAATATACACTTACTCTTTGACAATAGTGGAACCCATTTTGTTGTTATACAGAACCATTTTGAAAAAGTTTCTTTAAATAAACACATACAACAGGTTTTCTATGACAGAATAAGAATAATTTAACCATGCAAAGAACCATTTGTGCATTCAAATGGTTCTTTGAGTGTACATGAATCCAGGTAAGAACTTTTAAGTTGGGGATACTGAAACTTTTTTAGCAGTGCATAGGTGATGCATATTGTGACAATATGCTAAATATTATGTGTTTTATTTATTTACTTTGTTATTTGAATTGTTTGAAGAACATGAAACAGAATGTATCATACACATATGTAGATATGACTAACCTTTGGTCAGCCTACTGATCAATTAGATTATTGATGTGAGGGCATGGAAACTGCTTGTGTCACACCAACAGTCAAGATGCACATGGGAGATTATTACAATGAACAAAATACAAATGGCTCCCTACAAAAAGCACATATGGGTGTTTGCCATGCTTCTGCTGTTTTGTTATTTTTCTGTTATTGGTTTTTAGCAGGGGTGCTGCAGCACTCTCAGTGCCCATGCTTCCTGCTTCTCTGCATGGTGATATATATTTTTATTCCCTTTACTACAGAACACTAGAACCATTTTTAAGGCTGTATTGTTATGTGCAGGCCATTAAAATGGTAGAAAAAAAGCAATCAGATCTTACTTTTCTGTATGTGTTGGTGTAAGAGCATGAGAAAATTCTCACCATCAGCAGGTAGACTGCGGTAAGAGTTAATCTGCTCCTTGGCTCTGATTAGCTGCTCTTCCAGACTACGGAGCTTTCCTGCTGCTCCAGCACCTTCCACCTGACCCTCCGGCAACCTGGGAGAAAGGGACATGGAGAAAGAGAGGGGAGAGAAAGGGGAAAAGGAAGAGAGAGATTAGAAAGAAATATTTTGGCCTTGGCACTGGCATACTGGTAGGTTTAAGAGCTCACACATCTGCATGTCTGTGTATGCGTATGTGTGTGTGTTTGGCCAGCTAGGTCAAGGTGAATGGTGGTTGGCTGATTTCCCAGAGGGCTGTGCTTCTTGCTGTTTAATGCAGTGATCAGTTGTGGCATCCACCGCGAGCAATTCATCTGCTGGCAAGGCCTATTCATCATTCACACACACACACACACACACACACACACACACACACACACACACACTTGCAGTAGTGAAACAGAAATGTGGAGCCACACTCCTGAAATCTCTCAGACTAGCAGAGCTGTTTCTGGATCATTCACGCTTTGTAAAACATGGTGAGTAAGATCAGTAAAAACAGTAGGAAATCTGATCCCAGATCGGTTCTGATACTCCGAGATTCTTTTTTTTACCGGCCCTGGGCTGCGTTTTGGAATGGATTTAAAGTGTGCAGTGAACAGGGTGAGCCACTTGCCCAGAGAGAGACAGAAACATAGAGAGAGAGAAGGAGAAAGGAGGACAGAGAGAGAGAGATATATATAATAAGAGAGAATCATAAGCCATATTTAAGAAAGGCTGGACAGAAACGTATTTCTGAGAAATTGTGCATTTTAATGGTAAACAAGAAATTCCCTTTTTGCCTGGCTGGAGGCGGTCATACACATGTGAGGGTGAGTGAGGTATGTGTGTGGGTTTGAGAAATTGGAATGTCAAACATTTGTGTCGTTCTTGGTTGGTCAAGGACGAAATGAGAAGACAGACAGAATATGTGTGTGTGTATGAGTGTGTGTGAGAAAGAGACCGAGTGAGAGAGAGAGAGAGAGAGGGAGAGGGAGAGAGAGAGTGCAAAGGAGGGACATAGTGTGTGTGGTAGGGATAGGAATGGAAGAGAAAAGGCATAAAGTGTGGTTTGATCACAACTGTTTGACAATTCAAGTCAAGCAAGAAGTGTCACAACAGAAAATTATCTACAAAAACTGTAATCTGGAATAATGCTACTTGTCACTGTGCAACATGAGTTCAAGCCAAGTGGAAAATAATACTTTTTAAAGGGAAATTTTCACCACCAATTTTCACTTACTGAGATTCAGTGGCATGTTCAGTGGCATGTACACAAATGTGGACCATATTCAAAATAATAGCTTAACTTAATCAGAATACTAACTAACAGTTAGTTAGCATTCTAGTTAGTATTCTTGCAGTTAGTAACAGCAGAAAATGTCTAAAAGTTCCAGGGAACGTGGACAATATTAATCATATGTGTATTATACCAAACCTGAGTGTTGTATTAAACATTCATAAACTCATATGTTTAAATGAAAAAAAAAAACACAAAAGATAAAAATATGATAAAGTACTGCTTAAATCTTCTGATAAGCCTTTTCTGAGAACTGTCAGGGCGTGGTCCTAATCTTGTCATGAGCTCACTTGACTGACATCCCTCTATCCAGGCTGCTACACCACTGAAGCAGAGCTAAACAATAGCCTGTGTGAGAAGAAATAAGAGAAATGGAGCTTGCATATTCAGGCCAGATTACCCTAGATAACCCTGCTGTGTCCACAAACAAATGGATGGATGACAGGCAGACAGACAAATCTTGCTAGCTCTGTTATGCTTGCTAGTTTTCACCTGTTTGTTAGCTTTAGATTGAGACATCATCCTTTGCAGCAGCTTCTCATTTAATGAAGAGGCCCATTTTATCTATGGATGAGTGACTTCATGCTGTAAGGTCAAGATCACAAGGCCAAGTGTTGCGTGAAACATCAGCTGTTTTACTCAGACATGTAGCAGTATCGATACCGGTATTGGGTATCAGGACGATACTGTGCACAAACGACACAAGCTGGCATTGACAAGAGTCTGCTCACACAGAAAAGTGTTTCTTACTCCATCGAGGTCAGACAAAGTAGATGGTCACTTTAAACATTCAGCCTTGGCATATTCCCACCAGGAATACACTGTCATTTTAGCCCATTTTAAACACACAAACACAATCACAACAACAACTTTTTTTGCAGTGTGCAAAAATCTGTATACTATGGACTATCCAAACTTACAGTGTGACTCACCAAAGGACAATACTTCTAAACTCACACAGTGTATGCCTGGTTTTAGAAGACATTCAACTACAGCTCAACCAATCAAACAAAATATTTCAGATGCACAACTCCACAAGTGAGCTCCTTGGATAAGCCTCAGATGCATTAGCCTCGGATGTGATTCCTGCTGTTGCTGTGCTACAGAGACTGTTGTTGAAAGAGGCTGATGAGGAGCCTAAAACTAGGGGTGGGAATCTCTAGGTACCTCACGATCCGATTCGATTACGATTCAGAGGGCTGCGATGCGATTATAAAACGATTATCGAAGCTTCTTAAGGCATCTTTTATTTATACAGGATTTCTTATTTTCTCATTGTGTGACTACTTTTAAAGCAAAGTATTTGTAATGATCCATAATGAATTTACTTCCAATACCTTTTATTAAGAAAACAAACGGAAGCGATGTGCCAAGTCAACTGGAGGGCTCTCATTCACTGCTCTTGGTTGGAGCACATGAGACGCAGACTGGCACTCATCTGTGATAAAATGTGTTGTTACGGTGATATAAGATTCTGTGGCAATGGATGTCCTCGCATCACGTTAGAGATTTCATAATTTCTTGTCCAGGTCCTTTTTCCCTTCAACTTCACAGAAGCCAAAATGCTTCCATACACTAGCTTGGGGTCGGCAACATACCTAGCTAGTTGCTAATGACAAGACAAAGAGAACAATTTAAGGCGAACATCGATAATTTAGAGTATTTGCATTCATAAGCACTCAGCTGGCTTCCTGGTACATTTAGTCTGCAATGAGAAACTGCCAAACGCTAGTCACAAAGCTAGTCAGCTTCTTGCTCGAATTGTCTTGTTCCACCTTAAATGGTGCAACAGTTACATTCAGGCGCATCAGGCACCATTTAAGGTGGAATGAGAAAATTCGAACAAGAAGCTGACAAATGAGAAGCTGACTTCAGCCTCGTAAAAACTGAATGTTTAGAGACATTTTACAAGAAATTATTCTACTTTTGACAAAGTTTCCTGCTGGGGATGCAAGAATAGCGGCTATAAGACTGCGTTTTCGTTTAGATTTTTTAGCCTATACTAGCACATCAGCACGTACTGAGACATATGTACAGCCAGAATAGTAAAATGGACACAAAATGTTGTGGCTCCCAAGGCGGTTTGATGTTTGCAGAAAGGACAAAATGTCTCTTCTTAACATTTGGGTTTCCCAACCATGCTATAGCTTTTAATGCAGAGGGTGCTGGTCGATTTTCCCTCTCATCCATTCATGTTTTTGTTATGTGCATGCCACAGACTGTCTGGGCGCTGCACTTCCACACTTCCAAATTCCACCTTTTGTGTTCCGTTAACATTATGTTATTAATTAAAATTTAGAAAATAGATTTTTGTCAATTGTTCACTGATTCAGAATAGTCCACGTTCGCATCGCGATGCATCTAAGAATCAATTTTTCCCCCCACCACCTAATGAAAACTATGAAAGGTACTTTACTTACAGCTGTGCAGAAGCACTTTTCTAATGTGGAACAAGACCCTCTCTTCTCCACTGCAGTGCTGCACGGTCCCAGGTAACTAATGTAGCATAGCTAGCTAATGCATGTAAAATCAGCTAATGATTTAACTGTCATGGTATATTTACACTAACACCACATTATCAGTGACTCGTACTTGTACTCAGCCTGAAGAAAATGGTATCGATGCATCCCTAGTTTTAGTGATAGGCATTCATTCATTCACACAAATTTATTTTATATAGAAGTAAATTCATATTGATTTATTACAGCTATAAGAAGTTATCAGGGGACTTGATTTTGCCCCTGTGCATTATAAGGAGATGGCAAAGAAGGCAAAAATGGTAAAAATGGAGGCATTCTTGCCCTAGTTATTTCTAACACTGATCCTGTTTCCAAAATCACACATTGTCTTCTGTTGTCTACTGTTCATCACTTCTTCCCTTATTCAATTGTACTGTAGAATATTCTGCCTCAGTAAAAGGTCTATGATTGAGTAACTCAACATAATACAGAATAACAACATTTTTGTAAACTATTTCAGTTCAGGTTCTGAAAGTTGTCACTGAAAACATTTTTGAGACCCTGCTGGTGTGGGTTCACTGCTGTTTTCTCCTCCTTAAATGGCACAAACAAAAGGGACTTGCATGTTAATACTTTAAACTGCTAAATATGCACTTAAATTAAAAACTGGCTAGTTTCTCCTAGTTTCTCTAGTTGAGGAGCTCTGGAATGTAGATATGGATGCAAGTGAAAACCATAAGGTATTATATTTACAGAATTTTACAAATCATCAGAACCTTCGGGACACTTAAGCTGGATGGAAAATGCTCAGAATAGTCCTCGGATGGTAGGCCACATTCTGCAAAACCCCCAGCATAGACAGTGGAAAATTTGCTTTATTTTAGCATAACAATCCACTATCTTAAAAGTAAAAGGCAATACAACATTAGATGTGCATACTATTAAATACTGAGCAAGCTATTTAAAATCAAATTGCTTCTTAATCATAGCCAATATCCTATTACATCAACCAATCAGCCAGGCTTTATTTGAACCATTTTGGTAGAGATTTCATTTCTGAGAAGTGTGTACATAGATTTGAAACTGCTACATTTCATTTCCAAAGTAAGAGGTTTTGTAATGTGTATACAGTTTTGACAAGCGCTGAGGCATTGAAGAGCACAGAGCCTGAAATGCAGGCAAGCATTTGAGAAAATATTGTAATTACATGTATCCCTGCACACACACCAACAAACACACCTCATGCGACTAATGCTTTTTTGTGTATCGAGACCAAAGCATATCTCTTCTGGTGTCTGTCTTTGTACGAAAGAAAGAAGAGAAAACTGGCTTTCTGACACCGTAAGAAGAAACTCAGCACAGTTCTCATCTGATTTCTTTGATCTATTTAGATATATTACACACACAACCAAAAACGCACAGTAAGAGCAACACTAGCACATGCTTGCATGGCGTAGCAGCATCAGTTAATGGGGACACATAAGTAAGCAGCAAGGCCAAAAAAAAGGAACACCTTGAAAGACTATTAAAGGAAAC